TATATATATATATATATATATGTATATTCCTTTTTTCAACGTTTCTCTTCCTGAAAGATCTTTTTATCGGCACTCTATGTTACGAGCGAGTATATCGTCGTGTACGCTGATCAAGTTGATTTTTTCGGGATGTTAATAAATTACATCTGGGGGTATAACTGGATATATTCGTGTCTATCTGTTCCGTTCAGTTCGTCATGTTCGCGGGACATCGCTACCGATCCGTGATTGGCGATCGCGATAGAACAACAACAATGCACCGGTTGTCTAATATTTCGCAAAAAGTAACCTGGAGCACCCCTTGACGATGATAATGATGACGTAGATGTCAACAAAGAAAATGCCGGCACAATTCGTAGTAAAGAGGGACAACGGATGTACTGGGAAAGAGGGAACACACACTCGACTTTGATTCCCTGTGGCACGAATAAGAATATCGATCACCAGTCACACACACACACACACACACACACACACACACACACACACGCACACACACACACACACGCACACACACACGCACGCACGCACGCACGCACGCACGCACGCATGCACGCACTCTCTCTCTCTCTCTCTCACACGCATGCACGCACGCACACACATCCATGCACGGATTACACAGGTTTACCGAATAAAACCATCGCGCACCAACAAACGTATATACACGGGATACACAAAGTTGTCAGTCGGAGTCGACGGGACTACGTCCGAGGCATGATAACAATCGTCGAATGTATCCGCGTGAACATTCGCCACTGTCGAAACGGATCCAGTCGAGCGAAGGCAAACACACGAAAGGTGCCTCCCTTTCAAGCCGTTGTCATCGTTTCTTCCTCTCCTATCCGCACTGTAATCCAACTTATCGCTGAGCACGATGCGAATGACGAGACTCGCGTTGTACGGTGATGAATACGTCCATCCGCGTACACCACGTCCGGCGTGCACCACGGATAAAGGCAGATGGACGGACACACATGCGGCAGCGATCACACGAGGAGGTATCACGTCCGCGGTATACGATGAAATGCCGACGACTGTCAACAAACACGGCGGGTCTACCACGCTCTACGTGCGACGTAATCGCAAACGGAGGAAGGCGCGGAACACACGCACTATAATTCGGATGACTAATATAGTATAGGCGAGCGAACGAGCGATCGAGCGAGTGATCAACGAGAGTAGTCGAGTCTCTAATAGACTTGGAACCAACTAGAATGACCTGACAGCTCGCCTATCTGCATACGACTAGTTGTCCTCTCGGCTCGTTGCTTTCCCGAAGGGCCCGCCCCCTCCCCTCCGCTGCCCTACCGTCGGCACATGGAGTAGGTAGGTAGAGACCGTCGGGGAGGCCGCCTTTGCGAGACACACACGGCATACGTGACGTATTGCCGCGAGCGCGCGGTGGTAACAAAGTCGTCAACGACGACGAGGACGACCCACGACGTGCCTACGTCGTTTCCTCTGTGGGAAACGATCGTCGTCCAGGTATGCCGGATTACTCTGCTGCTCTGCTGCTATCAGTATTCTTACGCCACAATCATCACTCTCATCTCACGATAACGCGCGGTCGATTACACGTTTACTCGTTATTGTCAGCGGGCGCACTTCCGAAAACTGTATAGCGACGTTCATTGACACGTGATGAGGAGGAGAACGACGTTGTTTAGCAGAAAAAGGACAAAGATGACGATGATGATGACAACAGCCAAGCACACGCCACTGACACGGACGGTCGGAAAATTGAACGAAACTGTGCCACGGAGAGCGGTGTCGAGGCGCGCACTACTGTCAGGCTCCTTCAGCGTTTCGGTAGGTATAGAGGAGAGAAGGCGCGCGTGTCCCTTTACCGACGGGCAGCGAGACGCCGAGAGGCGACGAGAAGGAAGAAACGAGAGAGAGAGTTAACGACGCGAACGGAGCGAGCGAGACGCGCAGCGCCGCGCGGAGTATAACCAACACAGCGCACGGCATAAGTGAAAGTGATTCAGCAGCGCATGCCACCGCGCGCCGCGGCGGCCAGGTAGGTATCCGACGCGGACGCGGTGTGGAGGTGCCGCCTGAGAGGTCTCCGGCGCGGGCGCGGGTACGGGAGAGAGGGAGCGAGTAAGCACGCGGTCGCGCGCAGCAGAGAGGAGGCGAGCCGCGCCACGCCGCGGTCGAAGGTATCGGTGGAGGGGACCGGAGGAGGACGCCGAGAAGGAGGTTGCGCGATCTGTGGCGGGGGATGACCTACTTACGGAACCAGGTCTATGTCGGCCGGAGAAATATTGTCCGCTCCGCGAGCGTCGCGTCGTCTCGCCTCGCCTCACCTCGCCTCACTTCGCCTTGTCCTCACCTCCTCTCCTCAAAGTTTCGTTACGCGCGATGAACACGCGTCTCGTATCCGACCTCCGCGGCTCTTCAGGATTTTTTAATAGCGCAGATGATTTTGAACGTATAATAGTGTTAAACTATAAGATGTTATACGTGTATGCAAACGAGAAAAAAAAAAGAAAAAGAGGTATCTCACAGTATCCCATCGGCAAGACTGAGAAAGCGACCGGTCCTGCGAGTGACGTAAGACGCATTCCATGAACATATCGAGAATAGGACCGAGTCGTCTTTTTATTTATTTATTTATTTTTTTGTTTTGTTTCGGGCCTCTTTGCACGTCTCGAGACAAGACACAGGGGATCTGTTCGCGAGAAACAGAGACTACGAGAGAAGGACGAGCGCCGCGCGCGTCAAGTGCGAACCGTTCGCGGAGAGAAGCGACTTTTGCTTTCAAAGTGCAGGACGGGTGAACCGGCACTCGACAGGAATATATCGTCAGGTAGAAGCGCGGCCGCGGGTAAGCGTTCGCGGGCACGAGACACGTACAGGCCGCGCGGCTGGGTCAACAGCAACGCCGTTGGCACTCCCCGAGAGACAAGCACCAGCGCGAAGCGCCTCCACGGTGAGGCCTCTGTGTGTGTGTGTATATGTGTGTGCGTGTGTGTGTGTGTGTACGCGCATACGTGTGTATGAGCGGTGGATGTGCGCGACGCGGAGCGTGGTGGGGAGACCTACTGACCCAGTTTGTCGAGAACATGACGCAGCCGCGACTCGCTCCCTCTCGTTACGTACACCGCGCTCCGTCTCCGTCTCGTTCTTCCTCCTTCTCTCTCGTCCACTTGTCCGTCGCTCCTCTCTCTCACTCTCTCTCTCTCTCTCTCTCTCTCTCTCTCTCACACACACACATCCTCCTTTCGCTCCCTCGCCGTCATCGTCGTCTCTTTCCCGCGGACCCTGTCCTTATCCTGCCGCCTCGCACGTTTCGTCTTCCTCCACTGATGTGCGTGCGTCTTTCTTTCGCCTATCCCCCTTCGCGCCTCTTTACACCGCCTTCGTATACATATCTCTCGTACTTACGTTACTCTACTTCCCAGCGTGGAAAGCCGCGCGATATGTCTCTTTCTCTCTTTCTGCCCAGTCCCTCCCCCCTCGCCGCGCCGCGCTCACTCTCACTTTCTCTCTTCCTCACATGCGCCCCTCCCCCATTCCTCCCTTCTCCCGCATCCGACTCATTTATTCACTCCCCGTCTCTCGCAC